TTAATTTGAGGCAAAGAAGTTGGTTGGAGTTGTTGAAAGACTATGATATCACTATTTTGTATCACCCCGAAAAGGCCAATGTGGTGGCCGATGCTTTGAGTAGAAAGGTTGTGAGTATGGGCAGCCTTGCTTATATTCCGGTTGGTGAGAGACCGTTAGCTGCAGATGTTCAGACCTTGGCTAATCAGTTCGTGAGGTTAGATGTTTTGAAACCCAGTCGGGTTCTAGCTTGCACAGTCGCTCGGTCTTCTTTATATGAGCATATCCGAGAGAGAAAATATGACGATCCTCATTTACTTGTCCTTAAGGACACAATGCGGCACGGTGATGCCAAACAGGTTGTTGTGGGGAAAGATGGAGTTATGTGAATGCAGGGTCGTATTTGTGTGCCTAATGTTGACGGGCTTCGTGAATTAATCCTTGAAGAGGCACACAGTTCCAGGTATTCTATTCATCCAGGTACTGCCAAAATATATCAAGATTTGCGGCAACATTATTGGCGGAGGAGAATGAAAAAGGATATAGTTGCATATGTAGCTCGGTGTCTGAATTGTGAGCAAGTTAAGTACGAGCATCAGAAACCTGGTGGTTTGCTTCAGTAGTTAGAAATTTTTGAGTGGAAATGGGAGTGTATCACTATGGATTTTGTTGTTGGACTCCCACAGACTCAATGAAAATTTGATGCAGTTTGGGTCATTGTGGACAGGTTGACCAAATCAGCACATTTCATTCCAGTGGCAGTTACCTATTCTTCAAAAAGGTTAGCTGATATTCGTGAGATTGTCCGCCTTCACGGTGTGCCCGTGTCTATTATTTCAGATCGAGGTACACAATTTACCTCACACTTTTGGAGAACTGTACAGCGTGAGTTAGGCACGCGGGTTGAGTTGAGTAAATCATTTCATCCACAGACAAATAGACAGTCAGAGTGCACCATTCAGATATTGGATGATATGCTTCGCGCTTATGTTATGGACTTTGGAGGTTCTTGGGATCAATTCTTGCCACTTGCTGAGTTTGCTTATAATAATAGCTACCAGTCGAGCATTCAGATGGCTCCATATGAGGCATTATACGGAAGGCGATGCCGTTCGCCAGTTGGCTAGTTTGAACCGAGAGAGGCTCGGTTGTTGGGTACCGATTTAGTACAGGATGCCTTGGATAAGGTCAAAGTTATTCAAGATCAACTTCGCCCAGCTCAGTCTAAGCAAAAGTGTTATGCCGACCGTAAAGTTCGTGATATTGCACTCATGGTTGGAGAAAGAATATTACTCCGGGTTTCACCTATGAAAGGTATAATGAAGTTTGGAAAGAAGGGCAAGTTGAGCCCTAGGTATATTGGACCCTTTGAAATTCTTGAAAGGGTGGGTGAAGTAGCTTACCAGCTTGCATTACTACCTAGTTTATCAGTGGTTCATCCGGTGTTCCATGTGTCTATGCTCCAAAAATATCGTGGTGATCCGTCCCATGTGTTAGATTTCATCTCAGTCCAATTGGACAAAGACTTGACTTACGAGAAGGAGCCGGTGGTTATTCTAGCCCGGCAGGTCCGACATTTGAGGTCTAAGAGTTATCCTTCAGTTCGGGTGCAATGTAGAGGTCAACCGGTAGAGGCATCTTCCTGGGAGTCCGAGTTGGACATGCGGAGTAAATATCCACACCTTTTCTCCAGCTCAGGTACTTTTTCTAACTTCGTTCGAGGACGAACGTTTGTTTTAGAGATGGAGAATGTGATGACCAAAAATATCATCTTTAAATTTAATAAGTAATTCTGTGTTCTACGACTTCAAAAAATACCATTTATTATTCATCGACTTGCGTGCACAGTCCGTAAAATTTTTCGGAAAGTTCTCATGTGAAAAATGAATTAAAATGTTAAATAGAGCTTTAAAACTCAAGTGAGTTGACATCGGTCAACATTTTTAGGAAACGGACTTGGATTAGTATTTTGACAGTTTCGGTAGCTCCGTATCGTGATTTGGGACTTGGGCGTATGCCTGGAATTTAATTTGGAGGTCCCTAGCTCAAGTTATGACCATTTAACGGAACTAGCAACTTAAAGGCTAAAGATTTCCAAGTTTGACCACGTGGTTGACTTTTTGATATCGGAGCCCAAATCCGATTCTGGAAATTTGAACAGCTCCTTTATGTCATTTATGACTTATGTGCCAAATTTGAAGTCATTCCGGATTCATTTAATATATTTTGGCACGAGATTTGCAAATTGAAAGTTTAAAACTCAAAGTTTGAATCGGGGTGTGAACTGTAATTTTAGCATTGTTTGGCATGATACGAGACCTCGAGTAAGTCCGTATTATGTTATTGGACTTGTTGATATATTCGTATGGGGTCCCGAGTACCCCGAGAGTGATACGGATTGAAATTGGATCAAGAACTGGACTTAAGCAAAATCTGTATTTTTCCTTCTGCTGTAATCGCACCTGCGGATTTTTCTCGCAGGTGCGAGCTCGCAGAAGCGGGTCTTAGATCGTAGATGCGCCCGGGCGTGGCTGGGCAAAAGTCTGCAGGTGCGGAAACCTACACGCACCCACGCATCCACATAAACGGACCAAATAATCGCAAAAGCGAAGGCAGCGCAGATGCGCATTTTTCATCCGCAGGTGCGAGGCCTCGCATGGCAGCCCCATTTCGCAGATGCGAGCTCGCATGTGCGAGCCCAGGCACTGCAGGTGCGGAAAGGCCTGGGCAGTGTATATATCGAAGAGTCCGACATTTTTACTCATTTTGGTCATTTTGAGCACGGTTAAGGCAAAATTTTGGGCGATTTTCACGGAAAACATAGGGGTAAGTGTTTCTTATCCTATATTGATTATATTTTATGATTCCATACTCGTTTATGTCATGAATCCGTGAATTTATGGAAGAAAAATCAGATTTTTCTAAAATCTTCCAAAAAGGAGAAAATTAGATTTGAAGGTCCATTTGATATAGGAATTGGACAAATTTTATATGGTTGAACTCGTATCGGAACGGGTGTTCGGATTTCATGAGTTTTTCCGGGATTTGAGACGTGGGTCCCACTATCAAATATTTTAATGAATTTTGGATTTTTATCCGGAAAATTAGTAAATTCATATGGAATTAATTCCTATGATTCGTATTGAGTATATTGAATTGTTTATGAATAGATTTGAAGCTTTTGGAGAAAAATTTAAAAGGAAAAGTTGTGGTCGAGTAATTGATTGGAATTTGCAAAGCGAGGTAAGTGTCGTGGTTAACCTTGACTTGAGGGAATAGAACCATTAAATTATTTGTTATGTGAATTGCATGTGAACGACGTATAGGCAAGGTGACGAGTGTCTATACGTCGTCAAATTAATTGTTTGCCTGCTTACTTGAAAAATCATAAATTAATTATTATAATAATTGTTTCTCTCCTATTCTTTGTCAAATATTAATTCTTGAATTCCTGCATTAATTGTTACATGCTATTTGAATTATGTGTTTTAATTATTTTTTGACATTTAGCATATTAAATATTAAACTACCTATTTTCTCCCTGATTTCTATAATAATTTGCTATTTGTCATTGTTTGTTTCATAATTAAATCATAATTGTTGTATGCTTGTTGTCTTATAATTTTATATTAATTATTGCATTTATTGGAGAAATGTTTTCTATAAGAATTGATTGAAATGGATATATTGGAGGATCGGGTTGCACGCCGCAACAGACTTATTAAAAAGTCTATATTGGAGGATCGGGTTGCACACTGTAACAGACTTTTTAAAAGTCAATATTGGGGGATCGGATTGCACGCCGCAACAGAATTATTTAAAAGTCTATATATATATACTTGATTGAAATAAATATATGACAGACTTGATTAAAAGGAAAATATTGGGAGAGCAGGTTGCACGCTGCAACAGAATTGAATGTAAATATATTTTGAGAGCGGGTTGCACGCTGCAACAGAATTGGTTAAAATAATAATGGATTATGACTGCTGAGTTGGCTTCAATTATTATAAATAAGTTACCTGATTTATTTATATTATTTGTTGTTGTTATTAATATTATGTACAGGTTAATGTAAGTGAACCGCCTTAGCCTCGTCACTACTTCATCGAGGTTAGGCTCAGCACTTACCAGTACATGGGGTCGGTTGTACTGATACTACACTCTGCACTTCTTGTGCAGATTTTGGAGTTGGTCCCAGCGGCGTACCATAGACTTGCTCGGATTTCAACTACCAGAGGAGACTTAAGGTATAACTGCATGGCGTCCGCAGTTCTGAAGTCCCCGTCTATTTTACTTTAGCTGTGTGTTTATTTCCAGACAGGTTTATTTTATTCAGCCCTTTATTTGTATTTATTCTAGAAGCTCGTGTACTTATGACACCAATTCTGGGATGGTATTTATACACTGTTATTTTTATGGATTATTTCACTATGTTTCAAACTTTGCTTCCGCTTTTGTTTCCTTGATTTTTAATAATTTAAATTGGTTTATAAATTTGTTAATATTATTCTAACGTTGTCTTGCGTAGCAAGTGAAATGTTAGGCGCCATCACGGTCCGAAGGAGGGAATTTCGGGTCGTGACAATCGTCAATGAATACTATCACAAAGCAATCTAGAAAGGCTTGAAAACCCGATTAATAAGATCCATGAAAACCGCCGGGGCATTTGTTAGCCCAAAATATATTACCAGAAATTCAAAGTGCCCATACCGAATCCTAAAAGCTGTTTTCGGAATATCTTGCTCCCGGATCTTCAATTGGTTTTACGCGGACCGTAAATCAATTTTGGAGAAGTACCTACCGCCCTGTAACTGATCAAACAAATCATCTACTCTTGGTAATGGGTGCTTGTTTTTGATTGTGACTTTGTTGAGCTGTCGGTAGTCAATACACATCCTCAGTGACCCATCTTTCTTCCTCACAAATAGAACCGGTGCGCCCTATGGTGACATACTCGGTCGGATGAAACTCTTCTCTAACAAATCCTTCAATTATTCTTTTAGCTCCATTAATTCTACTGGTGCCATCCTGTAGGGAGGAATAGATATAGGCTGCATGCCTGTCATCACATCAATCACAAAATCAATCGCCTTGTCTGGCGGAATCCTAGGGAGCTCATCAGGAAAGACCTCTGGTAATTCATTCACCAGTGGCACAAACTCGAGTGTAGGTGCCTCAGGATCTGTGTCCGTAACCCGGACCAAATGATAGATACACCCCTTATTAATCATCTTCGTGGCTTTAAGTTAAGAAATAAACCTACCTTTTGGCATCACATTATCCCCCTTCCATTCAACAACTGGCTCATTTGGAAATTCAAACCTCACAGTCCTAGTTCGGCAATCGAGATTGGGAAAACATGAATAAAGCCAATCCATTCCCATAATTACATAAAAATCGACCATCCCCAATTCTATGAGATCGGCCACGGTGTCTCGACCACGCACCGTGACCACACAACCCCTATAAACCCGTGCGGCCATAATAGACTCGCCAACCGGAGTAGATATAGAGAATGACTCAGGAAGCTATTCCAGTTCTATCCCAAATTCCATAGCAACATAAGGGGTAACATAGGACAAATTGGAACTGGGATCAATGAGAGCATATACATCATGAAATTGGACAATCAATATACCTGTGACAACATCTGGAGAAGCCTCTGCACTCTGGCGACCACTCATAGTATAGAAATGGCTGGGTCCTCCTGAACTCTGCGCACCACCCCTAGCTGCACCACGCCCTGTTGGTGCTGGAGTACCTCGAGCTGGAGGGGGTGCTGAAGATGTAGTAGCTGAAGAACTAGATGGTTGTGCCGTGCCCCTGCCTGTACCCTGGCGGGATGAACGACACTCCCTCTGAATATGACCCCTCAATCCGCACCTGTAACATATAGGTAGGTCCATGTAGCATATCCCCAAGTGCATCTTCCCATACCTGGGGCATGTGGGCCTCCGCTGCTGCTGGAATCTCCTTCCTGATCGGCCCTGTTGGTGGGGTCCCCTACTATTGACTGGGCCCTGCTGGCGGTGCACTGGCTGAAGACTAAGCAAAAGACTGGGATGGCCCTGATGACCCCCCCTCCCCCCTAAAAGTTGATCTTCCCCCACCAAATGACTCCCCAAAGTTGCCTGCGAACCAGGCCTTTCTAGTACCCTCTCTCTACATTCTGTTCTTCAACTTACGGTTCTCTGTAGCTTGAGCAAATGCTATCATCTTCCCATAGTTCATATCTGAATTCAAGGCAGCTGTAGCGGCCTCATTGATAACCAAAGGGCTAAGGCCCTGCACAAACCGGCGTACTCTAGCCTCCATAGTAGGCAACATGAAAATGGCATCTTTAGACAGACGCACGAACTCCATGTGATACTCCCACACACTCTTACTTCCTTGCTTAAGGTTCTCAAACTCTGTGGCACTGGCTGCCCTAGTCTCGGAAGGAAAGAAATGGTCCACCAAGGCGTCAGCAAACTCACTCCACCTCGCTGGAAGGCTCCCCTCATCCCGAGAGTCCTCCCACAGCCCAACCCAAGAATAGGCCACCCCTTTCAGGCGGTAGGCGGCCAACTCCACTCCATCCGTCTCAGTAGCGCGCATAACTCAGAGAGTCTTATGCATCTTATCAATGAAGTCCTGTGGGTCCTCCTCGGGATTAGCACCCGTGAACATCGGAGGATCCAATTGAAAAAAGTTGTTCACCCTATAACCAATAGAACCCCCTTGTTGGATAGAAGAAGTGGGTGTAACATTTGATCTCTGAGCCTGAGAAGCCACTATCTGTGTCAGCATCTGGATAGCTCCCCTAAGAGCCCCGTTGGAAATACCAGAATCAGAAGCTGGGACTGGAGGTGGAATCGGAATATCAGTTGGAAGAACTGCTGCACCCTCAGTAGGTGCAGGAACTGGTGTGGCCTGGTCAAGTATAGTGGAATCAGGTAGTGTAGCGGTTGGGGGATTACCCTCGCCCCTCGGGTATTTACCCGCATCATCAAGTAAAGGGTCAACTGCCACTCCTGAGGCATCATTGGCTCCTTGGCCAGTTCTTGCTCTCTTCTTAGGTTCCATGTACTGAAAGTTAAAGGAATGCACGAGTTAGAGGAGGAACAGTTTCACAATCTGTTTCATCGCACGATTTAGAATATCAAAGAAGGGTATTATTCCTAAATGTCCAAGTAGCCTCAACTTATAGATGTGGTCGACAACACACCAATAAGGAGGACTCTACTAGACACGACTCCGAGACATCCTAGGACACATTAAAACCTTAGGTTCTGATACCAAGTTTGTCACGCCCCAAACTCGGGGAGCGCGACCGATGCTCAACCGGGTGAACCCGGTCAAGCTAGCCTGTTAGATACTTTCTACCCAACTCACCCATGATCAAGAGAAGACATGATTTCATTAATTAGACAGTAGGGTGTTCATACATACAATACTAAATCTCTCGTTGGTTATATCATTTTAAAGTCCAAAAATATACACATTCTTATGATTGGAGTAAAACACGAGATCAAAACATAACATAATATGTTTGACTTTTCTAGCACCTATGTACGACCCACAAAGTATCTACAGAGCCTCTAAAAGGTACAAAGAGTATTATGATACTGCCGGCAACAAGGCCCCGGCTATACCTCAAAATGCGATAACATAATGTACAAAAGATACATGACCCCGGAATGAGGTGGGGCTCACCAAGTCTACTAGGAGGAAGGTGTACTGCTATCGCTGAACAACATTGCCTGCTATGGAACCACCTGCATCCATTTAAAGATGCAGCGTCCACGGCAAAAAGGACATTAGTACTGTCGAATAGTAATAATATGTAAAACAAAACACCATCTCAATAGAATGAATAATATTACAAGGAGGAAACAGTCATGAGTTCAATAAGAGCTTCAAACAATACTAAAACATCAAATAAGGATCACATAAGTTTTCAAGTCAATTTTCATGTTATTAGGTTGGGTGATCTTTAATGTCAATATACCATAATTCACAATATCACTGTATTCTTACACGGAGTCTGATCACGACCCGATCGTCTAGGTCGTCTCATTCGAGACATCAACCATAACCACAATTTCAATTATCATTTTCAGCACAGTCACCACCATGTGTGCGACATGGTGTCCGATCACGGCCCGATCAGCTAGGCCGTCTCACCCAAGACGTTACCTTTTTCAGTCAATCATCTCACATCATACTTCTTTCATATTCATTCGATTCATTGGCACTAGTGATCACGATTACAAAGTCATTCTTGGCACTTGGCCGTATTTCATAGTTCCAGTTCCCTTTTCCACATTCAAATATCATTATCATTATCAACAACAATAGGGCTTCCCATTCAAGACATTAAATTCACATATGAGCAATTTGGGAAATCTTAGGCATATAAAGGCTTTTCATACAATTTGGCATAACAACCTTTATTCCGATCTTGACACATTTCTAACACATATTCCACATTTTGAACACATCCTCAAATGGCAAGATGACATGCTGAAGCATTTAGAAAAAATATTGAGCATACATCCTTCAACACAACCACATTAGGAATAGCCAATTTAATAATGATGAAGGACTTACTCTAATAACATGAACACCGTGGGATTCGATTCTAAGAAGAAGGGGGTTTAGCCAACATACCTCAATTGAGCTTTCTTAAACTCTAAAATGTTTCAAAATTCTTAGCAACTTCAATCTATTTTAGAAATATAACAAATTGAACCAAAACTAGGAAGATGATCATGGTTCTAGCTCACTTGAGCATTTTATCAAACACTAAGTGTGCATTAAGGTTTCAAGGTCCTTTTTGTGGAAGATTCCCTCATTTCCCAACCCATTCTCTACCATGTTAAGATCACAAACTTCCCACATACTTCAAGAATACATGCATTCAAGACAACAACTCTCATGTCCAAATATTATCTTACTAATTACCTAATTCCAGACAAAATTCAAAATTGAGGGTTAGGGTGTAAAATCTTACCTTTAGGATGAAGACCTAGTAAGTTATCCTTGTTAATCTTCCACGATTTGAGCAAAGATTGATGAAAATTAGCCTAGGGTCTCCTCTCTCTCTAAAACACTCTCCCTTCTCTCTAAAACATCAGAATTTTTGCTCAAAAATTATCCTTTTTGTGTATTTAATGAAGTAGGGTCGGGTTATAAAAACCCAAAAATGTTGCCCCGGAACAGGATCTGTGGTCGCATATGCGAACGTAGAATGGATATGCGGTCCGCATATCGGCCGCACAAATTGGGTGCCAAAACTGGAAAGAAACTGACTGGGTCTGCGATCACTATGCGGCCCGCAGACCTGTTCTGCGGTCACATAATGCACCGCAGAACCTCCCTCTACAAAACTCTAAGGCTGATTGTGCGACAAGAGTGCGGCCCGCGAAATGATTATGCGGTTGCATAATGGGCCGCGAAAATGACATCAAAATGACCCAGAAAAATAATCTCACTCTGCGACCATTATGCGATCCGTAGAGTGATTATGCGGCTACAGAATGGGCAGTAGGAACGCCTATTTCTGCCAAATATTTTCCTTCAACTCCCTAGTGCACTGTTCAATCCAAAAAGTCTGAACCTCTACGCCTACCCCGGCATCACCGGCATCCCCAAGAATTTCTACTATTATTAACCTCTACGCGTGCCCCGGCATCACCAAACCCCAGTTTTTAGGAAAATATTTACGGGGCCATAGATTAAGACTCCCTGCATGTGCCTTTACTATTTTATGACTTATGGGGATGGTTGAGTTGGGTTTGAAAGGGTTCGGGTTGAAACCGAAACACTTGGTTCCTTAATAGTGGCCTAAGATGGCTAAGTTTGACTTGAGTCAACATTTTTAGTAAACAACCTCAGAACTAGGATTTGATGGTTCTAATAGGTTCGTATGATAATTTTGGACTTGGGCGTATGTTCGGATCGGGTTTTGGGTGACCCGGGAGCATTTCGGTGCTTAATGTTCAAAGTTGATTCATTGAAGGTTTTCAAGTTCTTTAAATTTGGTTTGGAGTAGACTTTGGTGTTATTGAGGTCCATTTAGGTTTCCGAGCCTGGAGTAGGTCCATTGTGTCATTTCTGACTTGTGTGCAAAATTTGAGGTCAATCGGAGTTGTTTTGGTATGATTCGGCATTAGTTTTGAAAGTCGGATGCTCATAGTTTTGATAGGCTTGAATGGTGTTGTGATTCATAGAATCGACTTTGTTTGACGTGCTTTGTGACCTCGAGTAGTTTCGCTATATGTTTTGGAACTTGTTGGTATATTCGGACGGGGTCCCGAGGGCCCTAGGTGTGAATCGGATTAAAATCGGAACATTTTGGACTTGGTTGTTTTGCTGAAGCTTCAGCTGTTCTGGTGTCTTCGCACCTGCGGAGGGTTTGGCCGAAGGAGCGGACGCGCAGGTGCACATGACTCATCGTTGAAGCGGATGTGGCCTGCCCAGGCCTGGGTTCGTAAGTGAGGAAGCCTGGGCACAGATGCGTATCCGCAGGCGCGAGTTTCTTCCGCAAAAGCGGAAGTAGGAGGGGCTGGTGTGGGATCGCAGGTGCGATCCTTTTTTCCGCAAAAGCGGCCTCGCAGAAGTGAGCATTGGCCCACAGAAGCGAGGGGAGCTGGCCTAGGGGAGGACTGCACCTGCGATGGATTTTTTCGCAGGTGCGACTGTTTGGCCGCATGTGTACGAAAGTCGCTGGGTAGTGGAGTTCTTTTAATTTGAGACTTAGCCTACTTTCCACACACTTTCACTTGGTCTTGGGCGACTTTGAGAGAACTTTTGTGGGGGATTCTCATCAACATCACAAAGTAAGCATATGTTTATTAATTTATACAATATTTGGCTAGTTTCGGATTGCGTAGCACCGATTTGAGGCTTTTATAGTGATTCGTGGACCGAAAAGTGAACTTGGGAACGAGGTAAGTCTCTTGCCTAACCTTGTAAGAGGGAATTCACCCCATAGGTATTTAAATTGCTATTTGCTACTAATTGTGGGTTCTACGTACGCACGAAGTGACGAGAGTCCGTGCGTAGCTTGAAATCATGCTTATGTTCGGGTAGTTTTAGGACTCTATCATGTAACACTTGTATTATTTATTCTCTACTTGTTATTTTAAGTGCTTAAATTATATTGATGCTTGATAAAGGATTCAAAGGGACCGAACTTCATTACTTTGAGTTTTGGCGGGTTACTTGACCGTTAGTAGAAATTGTGCCTCCTGGTGTATTAGTCTTGTAGTAGCCGTTAAATCGAAATTCGTAGAGTATTCTCTCTTCTTGTGGAGCGGACTGAACGCCTCGACAGTATAATAGATGCATCTATGGTTCGTGCCGATCAACCCTCGGTAGTGTACACATTATTCTAGATCGGGCCATACGACATCGGCATAAATCGTGCCTGATATTGCTCGGAGTCCGATTTTACTTGATTTTAAATACATGACTTGAGAAATTATAATTTACATTGGTTGCTCTTATTTGTTGAAATTAGTACGTGTTAATTGGAGATATTAATTGATATCTATTTAAAGAATCACTTATTTATTTTTCATTATTGCGTTATTGTTATTGATGTACTCCCTGCCTATTTAGAATTTCTGTACTTTATTTATTGGCCCTTAGTAAGTGTCGATGTTGACCCCTCATAATTTCTTCTTCGAGGTTAGACTAGATACTTACTGGGTACATGTTGTTTATGTACTCACGCTACACTTCCGCACTAATCCTGCAAGAGCTGAGGTAGGTGCATCTGGCAGTTATTCAGGCGCGTACCCCCATTACCCCCCGAGGCATAATGGTGAGCTGCTCTCTGTGCCCGTTCTTCAGCGCCCGAAGTCTCTCTTATTGTATTTATTTTCTATCTATCTTACTACAGACAGTAGTATAGGAGGTTTTGTGTATTCTACTAGTTGCTCATATACTTGTGACACCGGGTTTTGGGAATAATCTTGTAGACACTTTATGGTTTTGAGTATTAAATTCACTATATTTACTCTTT